ATGAAAAATCAATATAGTTGTCAGCAAGTTTGAAGTCATTGTAATTACATGAAAAGATTTTATTCTACAACCTCTATATGTTATGTAAATCAGAAGCAGCCATCAAATTTGTTTTACAAAACTCACGTTCCCATCTATCCACCTTATAGCATTTCCAGTTAAATTTATTAATTCATGGGTATATTCCTAAATATAATAAGTTTTATCATGATTATTATTTTTTTAAACAAAAAGAACGACAATAAGTTTTCTAAAAGTAACATTTTATTAAATGTAAACTTACACCTCTGGGATCACCAAATATCTATCTAAATCTATCCACCCTTTTCTTAAATTCTAACAAACATACTGCTCCAAGATAGTCATTGTATCATCAATACATAATCTCTCCCTTTTGTATATTGGTATATATGATAATAAAATTAAACACATTCTTCAGCTAATGAGTGGAGAAAAGACCATGTTTCTGATCGCAAATCCTGGATAAAAATAAATAATAAATGAATTAACCTGAGTTAATTAACGAAATTAATTTAACAAAATTAATTAAGTAATAAAGACCTCATCTGAAGCAAGACCATCTATATTCATAGAATTTATAACCGATATTCTATGCCTCATTGCTTTTATTAGGTCTTCTGAAATTGAAGAGGAACTTGATAGTATCCAGCCATCAAAATTTGTTTTACAAAACTCATGTTCCCATCTATTCACCTTATAGCGCAACACATCCAAACCATATCCTATATTATAATTCCCAGTTAAATTGATTATTTTTTAAAAAAAAAGATCAACAAGTTTTCTAAAAGTATCATTATTAAATGTAAACTTATACCTCTGGGATCACCAAATATCTACTTATATCTATCCACCTTTTTTTTAAATTCTAACATGTTGATCCAAGATAGTCATTGTATCATCGATACATAATCCCTCCCTTTTGTATATTGGTATATATGATAATAAAAAATTAAAGGTATCTCATGTCTGTTTTGTTCGCGTTCTTCGGCTAATGAGTTGAGAAAAACCATGTTTCTGATCACAAATCTTGGATAAAAATAAATAATAAATGAATTAACATGAGTTAATTAATAAA